GGCTATAGTCTTGTCCAAATATGCCCACATTCCCCTTAGGTGTGAGTCAGATTATACACACAGTATAAAATCCACGCTGAAGCATCCATTTCTCCCTCTGGGCCAGATTTAACAGGGAAGACTGTGGTCCTACTCTGTTCCTGTCTCACTCGTCATGTCATTTGCCTCTGCATTCATTTCTGTAACAGCCTCACATATCTCATCTTGCGCTCTCCCTCCATCCTTTGGTTGCTTCCTCAGATTCCTTGTTTCTGTGCTCTAACCAGGCTCTGATGAAGTGACCTTGCTGCATCGCAAGGAGAATTGATTTCTCTTTTGGTCTTTGTGTGAAATCGCATCTTAACGGTGCTCAGAGGAGTATCCTCCCAGCTGCAAAGCTGGATGGAGCTAATTCTCTTTTATGATGACACTTTTCACTCAGTTGTGTGTCTTCCCTCTTCTTCGTAGCCCCACTGCTTTCTTCTCCCTTCCCTTCTAAGCTCACAGAAATAGAGCGGCCATGATTAATGCAACATCTATTGCCGCCAAACGTTAGCTTTGCCCAGCCTTTTATACTTGGCTGCTGGAAACTGTTGTGCCTATTCCAACAATGTCAAACAGTAATCTCATTTAAAACAGTTTTATTGCTAAACAAACAACGAGAAAAATTCTATCTTTAATATTCAAAATTTACAAACCAAACACATGGATGATAATCTATAAAATATAGTAGATAAGAATGTCTGTCTTGCTTTAATTACCAACTCTCTTAACTATATGACAGACAAAATGTAATGCAACCTGTCCCTGATCGACTGGATTCATGTGCTTATATCAAAAGTAGTGTCATCTTAAAGAACTATCTAACAATGTCTGAGCAACCAAACCAGCTGAGCTAAAGTTTGCACAGATGTATGAGCCAAAGTTACATAAGGTAATGAGATAAGTGATACAATTTGACAGGTGTCAGTGGCACTATAATCTACACTATAGGCTACAAGGTGAAGACTGTGAATCGTCTGGGTGTTTCTACTGGGTGATCACAGTGACTGGTGGAGCATAAAAGCCCTTTTCCAGAGAGCAAGTCCCAGGTGTCTCGTAGCCCCAGGACTCCCAGTAAGTATTCAACCAGGCGGCCACTCACTGCATTAATGTGACACCATAATGACGCAGGTGGACATTTGTGCTTCACAGAGCAGCAGCAGTGTCCTAGGATAGTGGAGGTATGCAGAGCAGAAACACTAAGCATCTGGCCAGAGTTTGGGACCAAAGGTGCAGGTGCAGCTGCTACAATCTCCACACTTTTGGTTAAGTGGTCTGAAATACAGTCACAATAAATGTGAGAGGAAAATGAATAGTCACATCTTATTCCATATATTAAACTACCATATCATTAATTCAATATCAACAAGTAAACTTAAATTATGTTATGGAGATATGTAATGCAGAAAGAGTAACACAACATTTAAAAATGTAGATCTGATTTACGATTTACATAAGTTACGTTGGTTTATGAAACTGTTGTTATTCAGACTAGCAATTGTATGTAAGCTATAAAGTGTAAATGTATATTTCACATTTATTTCTTTAATTGTACATCTCAGCAAGCATTTGTAATATTTGTAAGTAATGCCACCAGTGTAAGTTAAGCAGATATCTGTGGTATTATATTTGAGTCGTGGTGGCTGCTCCCTGATGGAGCACACTGCAGTACAGTCTACAGAGCAGAAACACCTCAATCTCTCCTCTGCACCACACACTCCAATAGCCCTTAGAGTCACATAGATACAATGGGTAGCCATCCCACTAGTCCAATAACAGGCCTATTCATTAGAGTCTCTTACAGACTGTATTGACAAGCTGCTGACACACAGACACTCCAGCATAAACAAATGGGGCAGTGGAGAGTAGCACAAGTGCAAAGGGGGTAGGACATCTCCTCTACTCCTGTAATATCAAGGTCTCCCACAAACTAGACCACAGAGTGAAAAAGGAACAGCCAGAGAGGATTTTAGAGGAGCTTATTACTGTGGCGAACACATCATGAATAAGGTCAACAGTGGCCTTAGAGGAATCCCCAGTGCTCTGCTTTAATATAAATACACAAACATAATGATGCTGTTCCTCTGTACCTCTTAACCCTCCATCCCAGATCACTGCTCGTGTGTGTGGCCTTTTCTAATTACTGCCCTGGGAATAAGTCCTCTTCATATAAGTGCTGCAGAACGGTTCAGGAGCTAAAATGGGTCAAGTGCAATCCAGCGGTTAGTTATATGGATCTTTGCCACAGTCATTATTGCCCATGCCTGATGATGCCTGATCTTCATCAAAAAGCAAATGCATGAAATATGTTTTAATTTTAATATATATATATATATATATATATATATATATATATATACATATATATACAATAAATTGTCCTTTAAAAAGAAGAATCTAAAGCTAATTAGATTAAATATAACACATCTGAGTAACAGTAAAACAATGAGGTACACACTTTTAGCATTTTACTGCAGAATGTTTCAGTGCTTGTAAAACATGCAAATTATATGGCGGGTATGCAAAGAAGCCCAAAGAGGCAAGTTGTACCATGCATACCCAATTCTGTCTCATTTCAGAGGAACAATTACTGTGTCACTCTGAAACTGACCAAAACACGGCAGTGGAAGCAGAGGAAGACCTGGACCTGAAGATATGACCTACAGAGTAGATGAGCAGACAAGGGGGAGGGGAATAATGCAGACAGGTCAATGAGGAGACAGGCTTTATGAAGACAGATGAGATGTGAGTGGCCTCGCATGCCTGAACAATAGACATAGAGGCAAACTGGTCACAGCTCAGGTCAACCCTAACTGATTCCCTACACTGGTCCATTTACATGAATTTCAAAAACTCTCAAACTTAAACAAGTGGAAGGCTTTTGTCATAAAATAGAGGTGCTTCAGTGTGAGAGTCCCCGGGAGCACACTGGCCATGCTGTTTATTAGCTTGTACAGGTGTTCTAGTGCGCTTTATATTGTGCTCAGGTACCATGGTGCTGGCAGCACTGGTCCTGTTTGGTGCAGAGCCTTGTGGAGCTGCTGCTTGCACCTCTGTATATATACTGTAGTGCTGTGCTGGACAAAACTAACACATCCACTGCCATTATCAGCATCAGGACTGTCATCACTATGAGAGGAGCCAGCATCCTCCAGCAGACCCCGACAGCTCCAACAGTCTCCACTGTATGCAACATAAACACACGCATTAGCAAGGGTACTGTTCAAGGTCATTCACACAAATGCACGGGTAAAGGCTAATCAGCATTGCATTGACTGTATTTTACACCTGAGCAGCGATTACTGCTATAAAATAACACCAAAGCCAAAACACCTAAATTCTGCTCCATTATCTGTTCTTTTGTATGTGAGGGGAAGGTTAGGTGTAAATATTTGTTGATATTTGTTTGTGGTTTATTTGGACTGGTTTCAGCATGGTAAAGGTCATTACAATGACATTAGCCTTTTTAGAGACAAAATCCACAAATGTCAAATGATTGTCAAGTGCATCATGACACAAATGAGGCAAATTTGGTAACACTGAAACTTTAAACCAAACATTTTCATCTATGTGACAAGACAACTTATAACTGGCTAATTGTTAGCAGGTTTAAACAGAATATTTTACAAGTCAATAAAAATGATAGGAAATACAGTGTGTATTGTGGTAAAATTAATATCAGCTGCTGAACACATAGTGTAGTAAACATTAATATTATTCAAATGTTCCTAATTTACACAGGTTAAGATATCGCATTTTACTCCAAGAAGCAAACTGTTGAAAGTGCTGGTGGTTCAAACCATTAGTTCAGCTGTTTAACTTTACTGAGTGTTTGCTACGGTGCACCAGCTGCAGGCAAAGAGCTGCTGTTAACGTGTTCTGACCAAATATCATTAACAGGAGATCTTGCTACCACCTGCAGCCTGATCAAGACACAGCATGTCTAAGTGTTAAATGAGGCACAAGACACTTTGACCCACCACCACAAAAACTCAGAAAACACAACTCTTCTGGACACTGAACATTAGAAAATTACCCTTAAAACTATCGAAAGTTACTCTCACACAGAAATACACCAAAGTGTTGAAGCCTGAAGCTAAATGAAATATGCACCATGACTTCAGACACCTTAGACTTCCCTCCCTATAATCATTAGAGTCTGCTTGAAAAACATGCCTGCCGGGAGAGCAGAGGAACAGAGCAGCTCCTGAATCAGCCCAGGCATGCGTTAAAACAAAGTGAGCTCTCCCCACATAGCAACACACACCAAAAACAAAGAAACTATCCACAAAAGTCCACTTTGACAAGCTAACTCACACTGCCACTGCAGCGCACATGTCTCCAACAACATCTACACGGTTGGGCACCTTTGTATGTACATACAGTGAAAGCCATCCCCTAGATAAATGTACAGGATATCTATATAGGGGCCACCACACCACTTGCAGACAGGGCCACTATGAGAGCAGAATACTAAAGAAGAAAGCTGGCTGACTCAGAGCAGAAGAAGACTGCAAAATAATAACATGGGATACTGTATGCTGGGATGCACGCACGCTTCTACAATCCTAAAATGTAAAAGTTGTATGTGTTTCATATTAAAAAGAATGGAGGGCTTCATTCAGAGCTTAGTGGCAGGTGACATCATAACAAAAACAAACAGTGAAAGCTAACTGTCCCTTTACACAAATCCTAGAAATGGTGGAGTCCAGTCATGTGACCAAACAGCTCAAAATGATACGGTGAGGCAACAAACACTTTGACCTTCTCTGTCATCACTCACACCTGCTACAATAATGGCACACTATTAGGGTGATTACAAGCACTAACCATGATTTAAAGCTCCACTCAGCGCTTAGTATTGACAGATGTCTAGTATCCGGAGCTGTTAATAGACACTACAGAGCTGCTGCTGCATGTGTCCAAGTTAAAGTATTCACAAGAACGATGACCTCTCCAAAAACAAAATCCAAACTCACCTAAAATCATGCTGAGTGCTCTGTCTTTGGTCTGGTTGAAAAGTGCTCCTCAGTTGCCCCCGTTTCCCCCGTTTGCATCAAGGGGACAATGGCTACGAGGAAAAACACGTCTTTTCAGAGTTCCTCGCCACTTTCCAGAAAGAGGCAACTCAGCGAGGCAGATCAAGGAGAGGTGAGGAGACACTGCTGCTCATGCCGTTCCCTAGTTATCTCCTTTGCCCCTGTCCAGGTAAACCACAGGGGGTGTGTGTGAGAGAGAAGAATGGAGAGTTAGTAGGAGGTGGTCCGTGTTCTGCAGTTGTGGCTCAGGTAAGTGTAAGGACGTGCTTGGAGGGGGGTTAGTCGCAGAGGGGTAGAGAGAGAGAGAGAGAGAAAAGGGGGTTAAAAAAAAAAAGAGAGAGAGAGAGAGAGAGAGAGAGAGAGAGAGAGAGAGAGAGAGAGAGAGAGAGAGAGAGAGAGAGAGAGAGGGGAGGGGGAGCCTAAAGTGTGACAGCCAATCACAGGGGCAGCCTACACACAAGCCTGGATCTTCTTCTCCACAGCAGCCTGAAGGAATTGCAGTGTGCTCTCCAACAAAAAGCTGACAGGCAGTTTCTCCTTCTGATTTCAAAGAAACCGCTTCAGATAAGTCTTCACTGCAGCGAGTCGTGCCTGGTTTAGTTCTCCCTCTAAAAACAAACAGCCCCTCACTTGTACCGCCTCTGCTCCCTCTCACAGCTTCTTGATTTTGGTGTTGGTTATAACCTACAGGCACCTTACATGCCTCCACTCTGATTGGTGGTAGCCTCAGCCAATGGGAAAAGCTGTAGACACTTGTCATCATGCAGAGTGGAAGTCATGAAGGGGGAACACAGACTGAAAATGCTCGTCTCCCCCTAACCACCGTTCCCATACAGAGGCAGGGCTGATTGTCAGATGGGTTTATTGCAGTGGTTGTTTATGCCCCTCCCCCTCACCGTCCTTTGATTTGGTGTTGCGCGCTGACTTGTTTAAGGATTAACCTTTTATCCACGTGGCTCTGTCCTGTCCCCCTGTACTGTCTCCATCCCTTAACCTGCGCCAGCAAGGTTACACCACATCTGATCAACCACTACATTTTCAACAAAGGGATGCGATTCAGGCAGGCAGAGGAGGGGGTGGCAAATCACAAGATGAAATAGAAAGCGACAGAGCAGAGGAAGCTGTGGAAGGAGGGGCAGAGATGAAACTAAACACAAACTGACAGAGGGGTGAGGAGACGTGGAGTGACAAGAGGAGATGACCAGGGGACAGGAAATACAGGGGCTTGGTGGACACAGCAGAATTATCCTGTGGACTATTGCTATATGTTGTCTTTATGGTAAAGATATGATGGGTCTAAAACCCCTTCACACCATCGAGTTGATCAGAAAATGTCTTCTGTCATGTCCCACTCAAGATGAATCACAATACAATACACAAGTACAGTGATAGCTCAGAGCATCACAGCCCTGTGCCACATTGCAGAAGAAGGCTTAACAAAGCTGTCAAAAATTAATCCCCCTGGGTGAGCATGCCTGCAAACACACCAGTACAAACACGTGAGCCCGGGGCTACACAAACAGTGCTAATGTTCAGAGGGGCTCCTCTTGTCCTGCTCCCTCTATCTCCACTCTCCCTCTTCCACTGCCCCCTCCCTGACTGAGGACTGAGTGACTCACACAGTGCTGGAGAGAATACTAAGGAGTAGACTGACACCTCAGTACCTCTCCGCAGCAGCACAAAGTCAGTGTGAGCAAACTCTGACAAATCACAAACACAAATCACAACAGAAGAGCCCTGCCCTCCTCAGCACACTGTCAGAGCAGGTCAACTGTGCTCCAGGTGTTAAAAGACAGGCTTCTATGAGACACAGTAAAAACTGAATTTTAGTGCATTTATTCAACTCCTAGACTCAAGACGGCAACAGCAAAATCACATGGACCTATATTTAGCTCAGCTGAGGTTGGCTCAGAGTTTATTTCTGAATGAAGGACAAGAGATGATACATCAATGCAGCATCGTCTGCAGGTTCTCCTACACACACCTGTGTGTGTGTGTGTGTGTGTGTATCCGCAAAAGACGTGAGATAGGGTTTCCTCATTAGTTGTGTTGGTATCAATAATTCAGCCGGTCCTTGTTGCCGTTCAATGGTCCAAGTGCTAATGTGCTGTCGGGCCAATGGGGCTCAGGGCACAGCACAACTTTAATGGATGTCATGATGAGAGGGTGAAATTGGAGTACGGGGATTCTGTATCATCCACAGGCTGAAGACTTGAAGGAGAGAAGGAGGGGAGAATAAAGAGAGAAGGAGGAGAGAGGGAGGAGAGAGGGAGGAGAGGTCGAGGGAAGCAGAGTAGAGCAAGGTCAAAGGACACTCGAGAAGTGGAGAGGACAGTCACAGGGGACCAGGTGACCTCAGAGGTTATCGAGGGAGAGAGATCATAGATCATAGATTCTTATTACTTATATGTATGAGAGATAACCAAGAACATTTCAAAATATCTGCAGCAAAGATCTGAAATATATAAAGCCTATAATAATTTAAAGCTTCTGACCCAAATAAAGTTAAAGCACATTGCTAAAGCAAGATTAAATGATGCCTCAACATAGAAAATCAGTAGTATTGCACAGACAAGCTATTTAAACACATGTTAAGTAGTTAATATAAAAAGTGAAGTTATTCTGTGCTGCCATCTGCTGGAAATTTCCCTAAAATGCAAGTGCAAAGACAATAGTAAGCCAGCGTGATGCAAGTATGTCACTTTCTGAAGTCTTCGTAATTGCTACACATCTCCTTACTAAAATGTTCTTAAGTGAACTCAGACAGTTAATAAGATATGGTGTAAACACAGTCATACACCCGAATACATGCCACAGGGTACAGCTGCTACGGATAGCTTGTCATGCCTAAGCTGTCTTACTCAACTTGAGCTATTTACAGCTAGCGACAGTTTGACAAATTTTGTAATAGATATTACTAACAAGGCTTAATAGCTGCGCTGTGAAAATAATACAATCAAAGGTGAAATTAAAATCTCATAAAAATATAGACCAAAACTTAACTCTAGAGTTCTACAGTACTAAGTCCTTAAGGCAATCCTGACTGCAAATTTACACAAGCTAACACAAAGAGACAGACTCCTGACTACTCACTTCCTAAAGAAGAGACTGCTACTAAATGCCAATATGGAGGTAGCATTTTAAGTTCAATTCTATATTTCATCACACAGACCTTTAGGTAGTTTTCACATATATTTCTCATTTACAGACTGTTAAAAACATTTTTCTATTGAGGTCTCACATGCTAAATGCTTAATGTAGTGTAGGCGTCTCCCTGGCACTGTGGTGGAGAATTTAGATAGAGCCTATGAAGGTCAGGGGTGAGAGGGCACGGCCATAGCACAAGTAGCAAAGTCATAGTTCCCACAATAATTTGGAAGTCTGCTATGGAAGATTGCTTCATATTCATAACTTAAAATAATGAAGGTTTGGGATAAGGGAGGCCCATATATCATACAAATAGTATTATTAAGGCCAGCAAAGAGAAGACATCTGCAGTCCCCTTCATCTGACCTACCTCTGACAAATCCTTTTGCGGCATAGAGGGATAGACTATTTACCTAGTCACCTAACCCTATCTAAAAAGGTAAATAATTATTCCACTGCAGTTCCATTTATAATTTGCTTGATTGATTTTTTTTTATGAGTTAAAAATTGTGTACTTATTTTGCTAAAGAATTGCCAAATCTCATTGCCTGAGATTCACAATGCACACTTCTTATAAAATAAACAAAGTGACATCATTCTGGAATTGCTAGACAACAAATCTCATGGAGAAGAACTATTATGGTACCTGATCTCAAGGTCATTATTGAAATATTGCACCCCTCATTTGTTACAGTATTTTGTGACAAAACCAGACTGCTGTGCACAGTCTGCCTCTTGAAAGCTAGGCACTAGTTAGACAGATGTAATGCCTATTTCTTCATTTTATGGTTTGAAAATCAGCATCATGATTAACACTTTAAAAACAAATGTACTATTTGTTTACCATTTTACAAATCTTCCCATTTCCCCATGCCAGTGACATCAGTGTAAGAGTTCAGGTGTGTGGTGAGGTGGGCGTGTGCACTGCTGCTCATGGAGAATGTTGATGTTGACTGTCACACTGTCACACACCTCTGACATTTTAGCACCAGTATCACAGGACAGGATGTCTTTCTGTGCAATCACCATTGCCCTACTGCTGCTTGTAGCTCATACTTGTTCAAACTTCAATTTCTGCTATGCTGCCCACTAGACTAAATACCCCAAGCTCAGACATTCCAATGTGTTATTATGCAACACAAAAACTAAAAATGTTGCAATTTGAGGTAATTATCTTTTCAGCAGATCGTAGTCTTTCACATTTTAACTCATGATTTACATTGTGATTTACATCACTCAACTCCAGTGGTGGAAATAGTTCTGTCTCCACACTATTAATTATTGCACTTATTGCAAACTGAATGCCATGACAGTAAATCATTTGCTGTATACATGCAAACCAAACAGATCTACCCATAACACATGTGTCTAATAAAACATTTTCATAAACAGCAAAAGTTAATTTACAATTTACTATTATTCAGTATGATGCCAACTTTCTGGACCACAACATTGACATTGTAGTTATATTTCTAACAAAAATGACTATAAAGCAGTCTTATTACTCTTCAACATTGTTATTGCATAGAATATTCATCGCAAGCAACCATATCTTACGACACTGTTGTACTGTTTTCTATAATTACACTAACCTCTAAACACAATGTATTATGCGATCACAGAGCCACACTACATGTACTGTACATACTACATACAGGCCTACATCCATTTCCTACCTGTTGTCCACATTGAACTCTGGTATCTCCAGTAAAAAGCCTTGTGTACCTTCACTGGGGACTCCTCTTTAAAAACAAAAATGTAAATTTGATTTGAAAGTATCAGTTCCGTCCTTCTCCAACATAGATCTAAATCCCAGTGCCAAAATAGGGACATGTAGTGAGAGCCTGGTACACCTCCCATGCACCTCACTGCTCTCCTCCCTCAGTTACAGGCCGGTGTGAAAAGTCAGAGCAAGAGCAGTCCGCTCTAGCCTGCAGTAAATCTAAGGTCAGTTGTATCTGAAGTAGCATTGAGCTATGGGCAGAAGCAGTAGGGTCTTAGAGAAGACAGGAATCATGTGTCAATGGAGGTAAGAAGAACAGAAAAGTTAGCCAAAGAGGAGCAAACAGCACATGAGAAATGGCTTGTGGTTAAACATGGTCCCAATCAAACCCAAAAACATTGCAAAACCTGGAGTCTCTAATTAAAACTGCAATTATAATATCATCATATCCCAATTCTACAGAAATATGCCAAACTCAAAAATCCAGGCATAAATATTGACAGAAGCAGCGAACATTGAGAAATATTGCGAACAATTTCAATATATGGAAAAATGCAGAGAGACAACAGTAGCACATAAGTGTGGAAACTTTGAGGTAGATGTGATTCGGCAGTGTGTGCAGGAGGCAGCCACTCACCATACAGCGTATTTAGACCAGGGACTGTCAACACCTATGGTGCAGTTGTCCACCTCAATCCAGGACAGCTAAGGCTGAAGTCCACCACTGCACCCGGTAGACAGATGGTTCTCCTAACTTAAATAAAACACACATATTAGGCGAGGTGTAAACAGACTTGTGAATGTTCTAGACTTGAAGGTCAGGTGGAAGAGTGAGCGGTAGTGGTATAGTAGATGTAAGCACATTTTGGTAGAAAGAGGCCTGAAGGATAGAGTTACACTGCCAGAATATGGAAGATGACTGCCCAGAGAGATAGTCAGGCATGCAAAGTTTATAACACTTTGAATAAAAGATAGGCCTTTTGAGGGCCCCATTGTTTAACAGTAAAATTATTACCTACATTTGATAACCTAGCTGTTGTGTTGTAACTGTGGTGTAAATTGAATTTGTGCCTTACCTTCATTTAACAGCATTGTGAAACTCAATTGAAATGTGGCGAACTGCCCCTGGAAAAATGTTACAAATCTTTGCTTAAGTCTTATGTTGATTTATTAATTTGATATACTTATTGTGTCTTATCCTTGCACTCAGCCACGACGGAAATAATAAAACATATGGGTAAGAAAGGACGCCATGACAGGCAGCAAGTCTTTCATGAATGACTGTCCAGCAGAGGGCGCTGTAGCTAAAGACTTCCATGCGCAGAGCGCGCGCACCACACAGGTGTTAGGACTGTGGCTGATTAGCCGCTGCATGATTTAGGTCTTGACTTTTAGCTCATTCGGATTTTTTCGGATTTATATAATTTTACCCCACATTTGAATATTTCAATTGATATAATATGGCAACCATAGATGTTTTGTCATCCAGATTTTTCTCTTATGAAAAAATGTATTCCGATGACATACGCCAACAGAGCTTTTCTGGTTGGCCATTTCGAGAAGAATGCAACTGTACACCTGAGAAGGTACATGGATGTTTTTATTTTATTTTATTTATTTATTTTTAATGGAAAGTGAATTGGTGTGTCCTGAATGACAAGAATGCAGTATAATACTGAAACCTAATGTAAGAAGTGTTGCAGTACCTGCTCCTGCCCTGCATATTACTTAAAAAAAAATCGAAGAAGAGGATGGTGGAGAAAATAAAAATTTGGCACATGGGACAAACGGGAAGTTTTGTTTTTGACAAGTGTAAAAATACCAAACATAACGTTTACATTTTACGGCATTTAAACCCTAACCTATAAACATTTCGACTGGTTGGTTAAGAAATTATAACCCTAAACCCCAGGCTTGTTTACACAGCAGTAATGTCTGCAGCTCTTCATCAATGACGGTGACAGTTGTGATTTACACTCAAGCAGGTGCCAGGTTCTGTTACACTGGGTCAGATCTCCTCAGTAGAAAGCCTCGGCCCACTCTTGTCCAGTCGTGATGTATTGACTGATGACAAGTCTTTGGTGACTAATACTATGTACCAGCTCAGCTCTGACCTCCCAGGAGCCAAAAGGAGTTAACTTTCACTAACAACCATCTTCTAATACGTACAGTTACAAGTTTAACCTGTGACCAAGCATAGACTTGTTAAATGTAAATGTAAATACATGTCTGTTTTATTGTAGATGGCAAAGGCTGGTTTTGTCCACTGCCCTGGTGAAAATGAACCAGATGTTGTGTGTTGTTTCTTCTGTCTGATTGAACTTGAGGGCTGGGAGCCCGACGATGATCCCTGGTGAAGTATTTTGCTGCTTTACAGATGCATAATGATCAGTGCAACAAAACCTAGAACCTGGAAGGAAAATGTACACAAGATCGACCTTGGGTTGTTTCTTGACATTGAACAGTCTGTGTTATGACATTAAACACATTTTATAGTTGTTTGCAACCCATTTTTGCTCCATTACAGCCTAATTGTACAAACACCGAACTTTAACAAATATGAAGAATCTAAAATTTCAAAAAGGATTGATGAAATACTGATGAACAAATTTGCATGTTATAAAAATGGACAATGAATACAAGTTTTCTCTGTACTGTATATAATGTTGCTGTATGTTATGTAAGTATTCTCACCTGATATACATGCCTCTGTTTACAGATGTTACAAAGTTGTAACAGTTGTGAAATTAATTTCTCATAAAGCATTTTATTTTGTAGGTCAGAACACATAAAGCGATCTCCAAACTGTGGCTTTTTAAATTTGAACAAGGACTTCACAGAGCTCACGGCGGCTGAATACTGTCACATCGAGAAGGACAGGCTTAAAGTCTATTTTGTAAGTATCAAAGGAGGTCTATTTTATCTTAAGCAATCTTATACTTTTCTTTATTCTAGAAAAAAGTTTGTCACAAAAAGATGGCATTTCTTCGTGATGAGATAGACCGTACACTGGAGTCCCTAAACTCACAACTGGCATCTTTGTGAATCTTATTTTGATGTATGTTTTTTTTATTTTATTTTTTATTTTTTTTATTGAATTAGTATTAAAGTTTTTGTGTGAGATTACAATCCACATTGTAGTAGTAGATTTCTCCACAAGATGGTGTGCATGCCTTTTAGCTGTAGAAATGTTGGCCATACATTCACAGTGTATGGCCAAACCTTGACACTGGCTATACTGAAATGAAAGCCCACGTTTAACAGCATTACAATGTGAGATATATTTTCTTTTCTTGCAAAATACTTGCCATTTTCATGAACGTGCCACCATCTCCACCACCCCTTTTCAAGCCTTGACCCTGGACAGATGGCCCGAAGCCCCTCCCATTCAATACCAACTGTTGCCCCAGTAACATCTGTCACGTATGAGGGGACTGCGCACTGGAGAGCTCGCCAAGAGACTCGCCCAACCCCATCCAAGTCCAGCTCAAGTTTAGGGCACAGTGGGCAGGACTTTTAAGAAGGGGGGTACATTTTGCCCACTCCAAGAAAGAAGAACGAAAATAAGAAAGTAAACACTGGGCAAGAGTTTCTAACAATTCGTATTTTAAGCATATCTTTTCAAAGCACAACCCGAAGCCTATTTTCAGGCAATAAAAATGATCATTAATCATGTTTTGTTTTTTTTTTGTTTTTTTAAAGTAAACTAATGCATATTCAACACTGAAAGCCACAAGCAAGCAATCATTTTGAGACAGTTTTAGAAATTATTTATTTTTTCCATCTCAATACTCCTAAAACTTTTTTTTTTTATACTTTCAGTTAATGAAATGTGTTATGACTCCCCCTCACTGCCTGTGTTATATTTTATTGACATGATATTGTCTACAAAAGCGGGGGACGTGTTGAGTGCAGTTTGTTGAAATGAATATCTCCTTTACCCAATGGGAGGGTTGTCTAGATGGAGCACAGGATTACAGATGCTATCCCTTCTCCAGCCTCCCTGTTTTGGATTAATGTCTAATGTAACACTCGGGCCACTGGGCTCAGATCAGCTGCTTAATTCCCTTTTATCCGCTCACTACAGAGCAAATTGAAGAGGGAATATTTTTAGTTGAAAAGGTCAAAATCCTTGCAGGTGATGTAACATTTGTAATGAAACTGTCATTGAGTTTGGAGTTCCTCAGTGTTTCTGAGCTCTTGTGCCTTAAAATATTTGTTTTAGCCCTAGTGTAGGAAAATGATAAATAAGTAAATTATATATTTAATACTGCCATATATTTTTAATTCTGCAAAAATGCATGTCTGCCCTTAAAATTCATCTCTTTAATAGTTCAAATTATAGCTGTGGTTTGGTTTAGTGTTGATGAAAATTACAATGCACAAAAAATTTAACTTAAATAATTATCCAGTTAACAGGGTGAGTGTGTATCTTAGGCAGCCCCAAACCTGAATAAATGGAGTGTAATTGCTACAGTTACAGAAACTTGATTTGAATAGAATTGTTGCAGATCCATTTTATTATGAATCCATTGCTTATTAATAAACGGTCATTGCAATTGTGTTTACAGTAATTGCTTTAATGATGTTTAAATGCTTATCCGTTGACAATCAGTTTGTCTTAACTCTGCAGCTTGGTGTGGCTCAGTCTCCCTGCACAGATGTGACAGACAGCTTAACTGTGGGAATGGTGCTACAGTAATAATTTGATTGGATTCAAGTTGAGGTGGAGCAATGTGCATATGCTCCCCCCATCCTAGTATTAATATTGGGCGCATAAACACTAAATCTATTTAAACTGGTCATTAAGCTAATAGGAGTTTTGATATAGATTTGGATCTTTTTTGATCCCATTAATGCACAGAGGCTCAGGGTTTACTGAATTGGCCTTTATTGCAGTTTTTTAATTAATGAATTTGGACTAAAACTGTAAACAGTGGCGAGCAGATGGACAAACTGACAGATGTTACCAACAGAAAGTTTACAACCTGAGCTCTCATCCATCCGGCCCCATCTGTTGCTGCTGCACTGGTACCTCCCTCTGCCTCCTCAGCCCCTCTCACATCCCCTCATCAGCATCTATCATGAGCTCAAACATTGGCCCAAATAAATGATGTCAGCCCTGTGACCCTCTTTAACCCTTTGTAAGCAACACAAATGGCAAACTATGGCCTTGGATTAGCTGGGTTATGGGTGTACTGTATTTCCAGTGGAACAGCATTCTTACTCCCCTGAAGATGTATTAATCCTAATAGGAAACTTTTACATCTCACAGTTGTCAAAGTTTTATGATTCATTAATTGTTCAATGGAGTGCTTATATTGACTCCAAAAACTATGGAGCATATTCTTACAGAGTTAAACAATGCATTTTGTTGTCTCTTTCTTGGCACAAATTTCTTTTGTAGACAGTAATAAATATTTTAAGTAAAAACACTTCTGATCCTTATGCTATGTGCTTTTCTGAGTGACTATATTAGATGTGCTTACGGCTGGCACAAGGCAGCTGACACACGCAAACTGTTTTGAGTATTTTTAAACCAAGTCCATGTGAATGAGGCTAGATCCTGTCTTATGCTGACAGATTACTCGAGCAAAGGGACAACACTGGGTGTTATACTCTTGTTGAATTATAATTAGCTCCAAACCTAAATACCCTTTCACTTGGCCCTCTCCCTCCTCCACATTTCATGTTCTCCCACGTTCCTGGCACCAATGTGTGATGCTGCCTGTGCCTCAGACCACAACCCTCCTACCTTGGCTGTTTTTTGTGCTTTTCTCCCAAAAAGGGACCTCCATCTGTCCCTACACTCAGCCTATTGTGAAGTCCCAAAGCTCAGCAACTTCAACAAAGCAGTGGGCGTGTGGAGGGGGGCCAGGGTAAACACGACAGCATCCACATCCCATTAGAAGCTCTTTAACTCCTGCAGCCTAATACTCTCACAGAATTTGGGGAGGAGACACTCCACCCCTTATACTCCTGCACACAATGTCACCTTTTTAAACCCTTATCCATAGGTAATGAGCCCACTGAACAGCCCTTTGCTTTTACTTCATCCAGAATCTCAAACTAGACTATAAAATGTGCATAACTTGAATTCACTCTAAGATTAGTTTAGGGGCATTCAAAGTGGCCATTGATGTGAGAAACCTAAATTGCATTTGCCTATACTGTATTTAATTGCTTGACAAGCTCCCATTGTGACCCCCAGCTCCAGTCCATTGTGTCATCACACCAGCCCCACCATCTTTTATTTCTCTTTACCCAAATTTCTCTCCATCTCACGGATCATTCTTCCACCAGCTGCTCCTCTAAGTCTGGGGTGTCTCAGTTGCAGTGTGCTCCACCTCTCAACCTGGGCACTCCCGACACAGGCGTCTGTGTGTGTGTGTGTCGTGTGAATGTTGTGTGCGCATGTGCGGAGGGTCCCGAGTGGAGCGGGGATCACTGTGCAGGGCCTCAGCTTAAAGGCACCAGGATTAGTGCCTCACAGACACTGATTAAAGCCTTCCAGCCTCCTATGGCCCCATTAATACAATCTTAATCACAATGCTTTATCCCTCCATCTCGCTCCTATGGATCAGGACCTTTTCATTTTAGCGAGAGCCACTCTTGTTTGGTCAGTGGATTAAAGAGCACTGTGCATAGAAACTAAAATACAACACATGAGAGAATCAAAGGGAATCAGGGACATTTACTTCACATAGTTGTCATGCATCCTTTTAAAACTGTTTTTATTTATTATTTCTTTAATAAGGAAAACCTGGCAAATGTTATTAAATAACAGATTTTTATGTTAAAATATCTGGATGGGTGTGTTTTTGTTTTTGCCTTTTGCCTTTAAACCCCAAATCATTGAAGGTATACTTTTGCTAACGATGACAACTTAATAAATCAGGAAAGTAATGAGAACAACTTGAATATAAAATATGCTTTGGAAGTTATATTTCCCTTCACCGATTTAGCAAAATATAAACCACTGTTAACATATCAGCCTTATTTACAGTGTGATTTGTCCCTTGTTCACTTTTCTAGTTAAGTGGGGACCCATACGCTCAGATCAGTAGGTGAAAGTGATCTGTTGGCTTGTTGCTGGTGCGTATCCACTGGGCACAGAGGAAGTTTGTGGATCAGTTCAGAAGTGCAGCCGCGTCCTGCTGTGATCTCCTCTGTGACGTGACCTCTGACCCCTGGGGCTCAGAGCCACAGGTCGGGCTCTGCTACCTGTCCCGCGGTCACTGCCCCGTCTCAAAGCATGTGCTGCTTTCCCATTAGGTCTCACACATCCCTTGTTCTACACAACAGCAATGTGGGCCACCTGCACTGCTGGCTCTTGATCACTTTGATGATGACAAGCTTTACAACAATTTACTTTCTCTTTTTAACAATAACATTCATTTCAGTTTTTGTCTTTGTTTCTGTTGTGTTTTTTGTCACAATTGTATTCGGTTTGTCAGCATGTTTTGCTTCAGTACATTGATGTACTTTTATACACTATACTATACCACTAAATGTTTTATTTTTTGCTTTTAGTTATTGTATATTTATACAATATATTCAGGTTATATTTCATTCAGCTGGGCAGTGTTTAGCCAACATTAACCAAACATCTTATTAGTTAATTAGTTGAATACTGTCTGGGTTTTGCCTCCTGCACAGTGTTGTGAATGAACTCATTGTGTCTCTGTGATTGAATTTAGTTTGATCCCAGGTCTTCAGGATTCAGTACTGGCAGTGATTCTGTTTTGTTATAAAAAATTGCAAAGTCATATTGCTGTCTTGCCAGCCTCTCGCAGACTGTTATGTAAAGCTATGTGCTCCTTCTTGGGCCTGACTGACACTCATGAGAGGACAGATTTCTGAATTGGGAGCACAGACCCTTGTCACCCCTGCTCACCCTGTGTTGCCCTCTGACTCCTCTCCTCATTCCTACATGCTCTAACTCTTTTTCCTTGCTCTCATCCTCCACTCAAACTCTCACTCTCTGCTCCTTCTCCCTTTGCTTCAAATTGGCCCAGCTGCCCGCCAGACCCCCGCCGCTCCCCCAGCTGCCTGCACCAACTCCCGCCTCCCTACAACTCCAACCTAGGCAACAATATGGGTCACAGGTCAAGAGAAAGAACAGGCTGCATATACAATAGACCAGTGGCGCCCAGTCTAACAATCATTCCCTTTTTGTTCTGCATGCAGCGTTTCTGTGCCATTGCAGGACTGGAAATGACAAACCATTTGGAGAGGTAGCTCAAGAGGTGGGGTGTCCACTCTTATACATCCTTCTCGAGGCTTAGACTTCCCGTTGCACAATGGGCTGAAAGACCCCACTGATAAACACACTTGCGCACCCCAGTTGGCTTTTATAGCACTCACTTTCTCTACTCTTCCACCTCATTCTTTTGTCCGCATCAAGAGCCATTATGTCCGTAAACATCATTATAGAAGTCAAAACAGAAACTTAAATCACTCCTATGATATAAATGTAGCTGGACCTCTGCCAGTTTCTGCAATTTTTGAGCATTAAATTATACAGCATAGTAATAATTATAAATGTAAATGCAATAAAGCCTCTGTTTTTAAAGACTGATGTGCTAATGAGTTTTTGCCCTACAGTGTTTTGGCATGAACGAGGTGGGAAAGTGGGCCATGTGGGAGCAAGCACAACGATGGAGACTCCAGAAAGCCTCTGACACATTCACCTGTTTCACACAGCAGTTTTCCCATGGTCCTCTGCAACCTTCTGACCTGGGAAACCCTGTGCGTCTTAATGCACACACTATGCAGCAACTATTGGTGAATTCACTCTTTTGTTGTCACTTGTGGATTAATTAACTTTTATTCATTATAATTATGGCCAACATTTTTTTTTTTTTTAGAAAAACTCTATTCAGCTTTCAATATTCAGATTTTTATTGTTAGACTGCTGAAGGAGTAAAATACAAAAAAGCATTTAGCCTATTTGTAAAATAGATCCATATAGACTTTAAGTAAGTTTACTACAGGATTTAATAATTTTATTTTTGCTAATGTGATTTTAAAATAATTCCTATTCCAATATTAAGTGTAACAGAATAAAATAGGAGTGTTCACTGTTACTATTGAAATATATAAGAATATTTATTCAATTAAGTGCGAAACAGCAAAATATTTACAACAGTACAGTATTTACAAATTTTGCAACACCTATTGAACCTGAAAGACTTCCAATAAATAATTTAAATACAGTCCAAGTGTGAGTGACTGACAGACACAGTAGACAGTGAAACAAAACGTGCTGTGAGAAATACAAAAAGAACAAGACAGTTTCAAAAATAAATATTAAATACGGATATAAATAAATGCATTGCTCTTGTTCTGGTGAACGGAACAATGTCAGCAGGCTCCAAGTCAGGTTTAAAGAGAGTGACTTTTTAAAACCTCCATTTAAAACATTTGGTCATTTTATCATTAGCTCCAACAACAGAAAATATTCAAAATCCAACATATCATTTTAACAAAATCAATAAATAAAATCTTAAAATTTGTGGGGTGTTTTATCAGGTAGGTTAGACTGAGGTGAGCTTTTTGAGTTTGTGCTCATCAAAGAGGAATGTAAAAAGTTCTAGTTTATGTCTCAAGTGTTTAGCAGTTATAATCATTTATAATTTGACAGTCCCACACAGTTTTAGATAGATCCCATCTGAGAGGGGACTAAGTGAGAGGGAGCAAAAGAGTCAAAGGCCACATCCAGAGGCAGCTCAAAGCGGGATGCCTGAAAGATTGAGTGTCCCTGATGTCCAGTCAGGCTGCTGGATGAGGAGTAGTGGTGTGAGGAGAGGTAGTGGGCATGGTGCCCCGGGTGTGAGCTGAAGTTCCTGTCTGAGTCATGGGGAGAGGGCTCCTGCTTCAGAGGGAAGTTACTGCTGATGCTCAGAGGGGGAGTGAGGGGCCCATCATATGGAGGCGTCCCGCTGCTGCACTCTGTTGAGGAGGGGTTGTCATAGGCTGGCCCCTTGAAACCTTTCATCTGGAGGAGGTGTGAGGCCTCTAGGGATCCGTACGGGGGGCTTGGGAGGCCTGGCGATGGGAAACTGAGTGTATGAGCCTGGCTTGTAACAGCGGCCAGATTTGAGCCACACTTCTCCTCTAGTTTGTTGAGCATCATAGGACTGGAGCCCAGCTGAAGGCAGCCCGCCACCAGGTTACTGGTGGGCTGAGACAAGCCTTTGCACAACATCTCCACAAAGCCGTGGCTCTCTGGAGACTGGCCACTCTCCAGCACCTCGGACAAAGCCCAGATGTAGTTGCGGGCCAGCCGCAGTGTCTCAATCTTGGACAGTTTTTGGGTCTTAGAGTAGCAGGGCATGACTCGGCGCAGATTATCCAGAGCATCATTTAGCCCATGCATTCGGGAACGCTCCCGTGCATTGGCCTTGATCCTTCGGGCACGAAACCTCTCCTGTCTTGCTTTGGTCATCTTCTTCTTCTTAGGGCCCCTGCGTTTGGGAGAATTTTCTCCATTTGGTCCAATGTCATCATCATTTTCCTCCTCTTCCTCCTCCATGTCCTCACTGCCCAGTTCAGTGCAGGAGTGCATCCGACTGGCTAAAGTAAGGCCAAGTCGTCCTCTCATCTCTGGGCTCTCGTCACCATCCTGAGAGCTGCCATCCTCTTCCAACCAGCTGAGAGAACTGACCAGCTCATTGACATCACTTTTACCAAAGCTTTTGGTCATCATATTGATCTACAACAGAAACATACAGCTTTAGAAAAAGGCTTTTACTCTGTGCCAGCTGAGAGAGAGCATCATTTCAGCACTGCTGTGTGGACAGCTCACTGTGTGTAAAAACTATGGAGGAGGAAACAAGTTAATTCATGATACTGTTTTACTCAGTATTAGTGGCTTGAATAACTCCTTGGTGCTTTTAATGCCCTGTCAATCTGGGACACGATGGGATTTACCCCTCATAAAGTACAAAGATTTAAACTGGAACTGTGAAAATGCAGTCTATAATATCCACGTAAAAGGTCACTAAAGATAATTTGTTAATTTGTAGCAAAAGGAGACATTAAATTTGTGGCAAAAGGAGAAATAAAATTTGTCAACCAGACAAAAGCTAATTTTAGTTGGTTTTCGACCAAAATTTACTTTTGTTCAGTTGACAAATCTACCTGGACGACTATGAGACTTTTCACACAAATTGTCAATTTGGTCATTTGCTATATGTAGGAACCAATCAGCAATAACTGCGCAAAGAAATGGCAGAAATAAGAAACTAAGGGCAGGCCTGTTTTTTTCTAATTATTATTAAGGCTGTAGATTTAGTGACTTATAATAAACCTAATCAACTTAATATATGGTACAAATGGGTAAAGAGGTACATTTCTGGAAAAAATAGTGGGTAAACTCACCGTTTCTGCTGTGCCCCCAGTGCCCGGTAAATTGTGAGACTTTTCCCTGAAGTGCAGTTATGTTCGGTCCTTGAGGGTCGCGTTAATCTCGTAGCTCCGTGTCCCACAGTCCCACTGCCTCTAAGCAGCCATCAATGTGCAGGAAACCTTCATCCAACTGGCACGACCCGGCTGATATTTTTACATTTAGCCATGTAAGCCCCTCCCTCCAGTGCCCCTCCCACCATCAACTCTTCCGAAAGCGCGTGGCGGGCTCGTGGCCGCTGCTAGGGCGCACTTGTAGCAGTGTTTTATTTGCAGGCTTGCTCTTGCCGAACGGGGAGGGCGAAGGCTGAGAGGGGAGGGGGAATCCTGCAAAGTATCATCAAACAGACTACGGACGCACAACAAAGCAGCGTGTCCATCTCGAATCCTTCCAGAAACCGTTTGATCTAATCGTAGTGTGCAACTTTAATGTTAGGCTACGTGTAGGCCTACATGTGTGGGCTTGTATATTTTTCACTTTTTAAATTGCTTAGTGTCGTTTTCACTTCCCTTCCATCAGTCCTCTCCTTCCTTTGTTACTCCATAAATTGTATTTGAGCTAGATGCATGCGTTCATTAGTTTAATGTCGCTTAATTGCTGTGGTTGCTCGGTTCAGTCTGTGGTTTTAGTACCACGTGGGCCCGCGTTTCGCGCTGTATTAACTATCCTAATCGATTGTCTATCTCTTCATTAGTCGGTTGGATTATGAATTTTCCACTTAATTACCCACTGTGTAGTGCTGGCTGCGGGGAGAGACGCGCGTCCGTGTGCGCGTCTAAGTAGTTTTGACAGCTCAGTGCGGCGCAAAGCAGGTGATGTGTGTTATTCACTCGCTCACTCAACTGTTTTCTTCTATTTACTGCGTCATATTGTACGCCATTTCTTAATTAGCGCAATGATGAGGCAGGTACTTTCCGCGAGCAGCCCTGAGTTTGAGCAGCTCAGATTCCCAAATTAATCCCATGAGCAACTGTTTACGGGGGACGCCCGTCTGTTGTATGTAACAGTTGACTTAAAAATAAAGTTGGTTAGTAGACTAAATGTAGGCTATAGACCTAGTCAGTTAAAACAGGCCTAATTCCACTCCTGCCCTACGCCCTTCACCGTTCCACGATGACATGCCAGTGCTCCTTGTCGTTAAGAACCTCCACATTTAACATTTTGTATAGTTTTCACTACAAATGTCATGCCATAATAAGCCCTCTCCAGTGGTTGTGTTGAAGGGCCGTGGCACAGTTGGCGTTCATTGTGGGGATTGCCCACTGATGGCCGGGGTCTTGCGAATCGCACGTGCCCCCCTATTGATCCCATTGTGCGCGCGATTGCTCACAGCTGTGCCCGAGACAGGGACACCCTACTTTGCCAAAGTATGGTAGCTATTGTATAACTGCATGTAACATGCGCAATCTGATAAATAAAACGTGGTCACGTGAGTTATAGACAACTTTGTATTAACGGGCACTTATCCAACGATTTATTGAACAAGGCTGAACAGATGGTTGTATACTATAGGAGGCGTTGGGGGTTGAGGCATCCGTTGCTTGGATGCTCACGCGTCAGTCGCTTCCCGAAGATAATGTATGGTGTTAAAACTGTATTTATCCACCTCAACGGTCAAAATGACAGTCGGTCAGAGCCGTGTCGCAGCCGTGTCACAGCCGTCCGGACGCAGAGGCCCTGGCCCTGTTTGTGTTGGCCCCAGAGATGCGCTCATGTAGTGGAACAACACTAACCAATGCTCCCGCGGCTCCCCAGGTACAGAGCCCTAACAGGCAGACATATAGGAGACCCCCGTGTCCCTTGAGCCTCAGCCGTCATCCACTACACCTGCAACATGCACAGGGAATAGATCCGGCCCGTCTCCCATTCCCATCACTCTCCCAAATGAATGTCTACAACGAACTAAAGGGAATTACCCCTTTCCCCTTATAAAGCTGTAGCATAGATGGGCAATCTACTGGAAGAGATCACAATAAACAGTCCACGTGTAACTTCATGTTAGGGGATTTCTGTATGTTCATTTATTTAAAATACATTGTAAAAAAAAATGCATAATTTGATCTATCAATCGTAGTTATGTAAAATAATGTTTCAAAGACTTTCTTTTTGTTGCTTTGGTATTTTAATTAATTAATTAAATTGAGCTGTATTGAATTTTAGCAAAAAGTACCAGTTTGCCATGAGCCATTTAAGGACCGTTGTTCTCATTAATAGAAGGGGGGTCACAAAAATCACTAGCTCAAGTGAGTTGTCTTAGCTCTTGTCCCCGGGGACCAGGGGAAGGATGGGAGGGTTTGGTGCTCTCTGCTGACAGATGGGTCCTTGTTTCTGTCTTATTCTTCCTCTCTGTGTCCCTCTTCTCCTAAGACATGACGCACTCACACACACCAACACTGCACCAGCACAATGGGAATTAAAAGCCACACACATGTTGCCTGAGATGCTGCAGAAAGCTGAGCCCCTTGTGGTCTTTATAAAAGATGCAGGGATCAAGGATTTGTGATGTGGGATGTTGTGGTATATTGTTTGGGATATGCATTGTTTAAAAAGTTGTGTATCTGGTTGTGGGTTTCGCTTGGAAAAATGGTCTATAGATTCAATTAGATATAAATTAAATTAGCATATGTATGAGTATGAACCCAGTTTTCTGTCTGTTTCTGTGTCTCCATGTCACTTTCAAAGCCTCTTTATTATGTGTTTAGTTTGACAATCTTGTGGTCACATACGGTAGAACATATAGCTTGACTAACTTAGGATTTAGTTGGCGTGTGTGAGTGTCCCCTGGCCATGTCCTCTCCATTTGCTGCTCATTGAGGCTGAATGTTTCGTAGTTTCCTGAGGGAGAGAGTGACAGGCACACGGACAGAGCAGCTCAGGGGACACAGGTGCCTGCTGTGCGCATGCACATACTCCCCTCATGACCACGAGTCAAGGCGTGTAACCTCACTTACCTCTCACCATCCTTTGCAGGAGCAGCCCTGGCAAATTATAATAATATGAAGACTTAATTTTACTTTCTGTACTTGTTCAAGCACATTTACTGATTGTAGAGTTTATAGTTACTTTTTGAAGTCTGAATTGATTGAGTTTTATAGTTTTTTGTTGTTTTGCATTAAAATATGTAAGGTTCATTATAGTTGTCCCTTGTTGTAGTTATAAAAAGTATTTATTACTGTATCAGTTACACAATGACAGCCAGCCCTTGATCACACAGATAAGATCAGGCTGAATCTCATGGAGGTGATATGAACAGATTGTTAGCAGCTTATATCTCTTCCTCTGGGCTAATGGATATGGAATAAATTCCAGTTGGGCAGAAATGTAGCTACAGAATGGGAATCAGGCCTGGGGGCAATTCTCACTAAGTGGAGAGAGCGCCATTAAACAAAGGTGCCTGTGGTTTCGGATTCAGGATACTTTACAGCGTTGGTCCCAGGGCATGCACTGTGTTTTTGGGTGTATGGAGAGAGGGGGCAGAACAGGGGGAGGAGGGGGAGGAAGATCCATCTGCCACTCTGCTGTCCTCAGGGAGATGGGCCTATCCCAGGGGTGTTCTGTAGGAGAGGGGCTGAAAGGATTACACCCAACCACTAATCAACAACGCTAATCTGTGGGCCCCCATACAAAATCCCTTACCATCCAAACAACTATTTAGGACAGAACATAAACCACCATGTCCAGGATCAACCAAAATTGTTGGACAATCAGATAAACTTCAGGACAACTGTATGTGATTCCTAATTAGGAGTGAGACACATGAGGTGTGACTAGCAGAGAGTCACACAGTATCTGTGATCAGGTGCAACTGTCCCACAAGTGGCCTGTCTGATTCCCAGTGTGACCATTATGCAAATACAGCAACGAGACGAGTCTGCAACAGAAATTAGTTTAACGGACAAAAACACTTCCATTCAAATCCAATAGAAAGACCATTTCTCCAAGTGTTCAAAGATCAAAATAGTTCCTTTTTGACTAAATGCTATTCCATAGGGTCGACTTGTTTATGAACTGACTTTCAGTAAGTCAACCTTGATTGAAATTTCTAGAATGGAAGGTGAGACTGTGGGCCTCTGCTCCCAGGTGAGTCTCCCCTGATCTGTATGTTTAGTCACTGCAGGGTTCCTCAGTCAGAGCAGCTGTTGAGCTCTGCACAGCTCAGACCTGGGCAGCAAAAAGAGAGAAGTTATATTGTCTTACTCTTGACACAGTAGTTCTGATGCTTGGAGCGCTGTGGTGGGGCTTGTTGTCTTTACAGGTTTAAGACACTATTGATGATGCCAGTCCTTCGGGGCATGGGGACCCAGGGTGCCTAGGCCTGCCTACTGCAGGATGCCCATCGGCTAAGCTGCACTAAGCTGTCTATCCCTGAAGCCTCATTGTTCAGTTTGTCCAGAGCTGTCAATATAAAGCTTGGCTAATGTGATCTAGAGGCAGCTGGAGCTGCCCACATTATTACCATGACACAGCCAACTGAGGGTGTAATATCATTAAAACTAAATCAGGTGTTTGTAGATTTGGTGGAGCAGCGACTTGACTGGCATCAAACAGGAGAATTGCTAAATTTAATCACTTAAGGGACATTATATAGATTTTACTCAAACATAATTTTGATAAGATAATTCAATCTTTCCTCACAACTTTGGCACACATGAAGGATTTATTTATTTATTTATTTTTAAGATGGAGCACTGACTTTTCTTCATTTCGGCCATTATGACTATAATCTATAACCTATAGGCCCACTTTTTTATTTAGGTACAGAAACCAAACCAGTATGATTTGAAAGTAGTTTATATGGCTAACCAAAGGATATGCGCTAGTCATTATTAGCCTCTTGTGACGGATTATTGTTGCAAATGATGAGAAAAACGTGAGGCAGTGTTAATCTTCTTAAACTGTTTGACACTGAGCTGTCTGCTCGGCAGACTCATCAGCAATCAGCTGTCCTCTGAATGGGCCAGGGCCATAATACAGCACAGTCATAACAATAGATCAGACTAAGCGCAGTAGTATGAAAAAGAGAAATGTTTTCGTCCTTTTAGACTAGCGTAATATCTCTCAATTCTATAGTGCGTTATTTTAGGCTGCCCTTTGTCATCGTATTAATCTGCATGACTTTGTTAGTGGTCCCTATTCTTGCGTGTTGCGCTGTGATAAAGCGCCAGAAGTTCCGTTAGTCGCGCTGCAAGGGTCGCATGTTTCTTTTGTTTTGGCGCCCGGGACACATAAGTGGTGATTTCAAGGCCCATTGAGTGGGCGATGGATTGTGCCCAAAGTCCGCGGACCAGCGGCGCATTGATTACTGGAGAGCGCTGAGAGACGCCCAAACTTCTGTAATTATCAATCTCTGCACTAATACCCGTATGTGTGAGTTAATGTGACCAAGCACTGGCATTTTATTAATTTTTTTTTTATCACGGAATCAGTAATTGAAACCTTGCAATCTACCTTTAATGCGCCTAACGCATGGCCCTGGGATATATCGTAAACAAACATTGTTCTCTTTATGTTATAGTACTTCTCTTATTGCAGTAAAATGTTCATATTTGATACACTCTGTTGTGCTCAGAACGTGCTGCTCTGACACTTGCTAAGATTTCCGCTTGTTCGTTCACATTAGTGTACTGAACAACAGTGGCACCTTGTGGTGCGTATTGGAAATAAGTTAACTATGTTGGTCTATTAAACGCTGCAATTACATCCTGTTATTTCTTATAGTGAATCGCCTCCGTACTTTTGATAGGCCAATTAATGTTGAGCCTGCTATAGTTGGAACTTGAATTTGAGGCGTAGGCCTACTTTTTGCTCTTATGTCCTATATGTCTACTTACATGTAGCAAACTCAGTAAGCCTACTTCACCATAGATTGTAATTAAATCAACTAATTTATTTTATTTGGTGGCTGAAAACTAGCCGTGTGTCTTACGACAAACTATGAGACTTGGCACAGTTACTAAAGATGGTGGAACAGTCAAAAAAATTTTCAGTATTGTTAATAATAGCTCACAATGACTCACTTGTCTCCACAGTTTTATAAAAGTTTAAGAAAACATGCGAGTTTAACGTGACATGAAAATTCAGAGTAAAAAAGAAATAAAAGAATATTCATATACTAGTATGTTGCCAGCATAACCACATTTGTTCTTGAAATATCTCTAAATTCCACATGCGCAAAACAATTGTTCATTTGATTATGGATATGGCAAAGGAACATACTCTAAGTGAGCTTCATCTAACTGTGTCAAATGTGTTTAACTTAATTTGCAAACAATAATTAAAAAGTTATCAGTTGAACAGACTGAAAATGGAAGCTAGATGTCAAATAGTTGACTGAGTCCTGTGTTTGATATGTGGAATTTGCATGTTTTCCCGCATGTTTTCCCTGTGTCCTGACTAAACCTAGCTCAACATCTTGGCCCCCAAGCATTGGGGGTGGCCAGATGTATCAAATGCTGAAGGCGGATTTAGTAGGCTAATGACAGGCTATATGGGTCTTGCCTCTGTGTGTCAGAGTTCATGAACTGGACTGGTACTGACAGGAGCTATAGGCCTAGAAAAGAGCGTCTCTTTCCTTCCCATGAAAAAGCCTCAGGAGTCACTGACCCATTTATTTATTTATTTATTTTAGATGCCCTGGACTATTTAACTTATTCATGGGCTAGATGTCACCACTATTTTGAGATCACATTGTTTTTATCACATTTGAATGGAAATACACCACTTCAATAAATCAAACATTTTGCAGAGGTGCATCTTCTCTATATAAGGAGAGGGTAATGTTCCTCTTCCAGTGCGTAGTGCGTGCTGTGGAGCAGTACGTGCTGACGCATGACGCACAGCTTTTCTCGCCCCGTCTGCCTCTCGGAGCCGTCACACATTCTTTGGCTTTCAAGGTCTCTGGACACACCTAGGCCAATAACCATGGTAAGTAATTCCTTTTAAACATATAGAAAGAGCTAACCATTATAATTTAGTTTAGTAAGTTTCTAATTCCAGGTTTAGTATCGGAGAGGACGCGACTAATATTGTATTTTGGATGATCCAGTCCTGTAACGGTTTGCTAGCGGAAGTGGAAGTTTACTACTTACGCTAGCTTTAGCCTGCGAAATAATTAGTTATTTGTGAAATTCATCGATTCAACGATTGTATATATATATATTACATATACATTGTTTTCTATTTAATCAATATTATTGGTTGCAATATACATTCTGCGTCATAATGTGAATACCATATTATGTAAGCGTGGCTTCACCATTGCTCATTTCGTTTTATCCAATCTGTTTTGAACAGTCTGACTTCTCTGAAGATCAACTCAGTGGTGAGTTCAACATTTTTATTAGAGACTTGGTTCTTTCAGCATGCTTCCCTCTTGATTTATCTCTCTTCCACCGCTCTGTGCCGCGCTTGTCACTGAGGCGAAGCCCAATGCTAAGGCTAGTTATTTGGGGTTTCTCCACTGTGTTACCTTTCCCACCTTTTTGCAAATGCTTGTTCTTTTCAGATTGAATTAAAGCGGATCAGATTCATGGTAAGTCAGAAGAGGTGATACATTGACGGTGATCCTGGTTTGGGTGTGATCAGCATGTTAGCTGTTAGTTTGTTGGATATAAAATCTACAGTAATTAACATTTTTCCACGTGGTGATAATCTAATCATTGTTGGCTGTATCCTGCATTGTGTTGTGTGTCGTCAGTCAGACGTTGGATCTTAGGTTCTAGTCCGTGGATTTGTTTAACTGCGAATGCTGCTGCCTGTCTGTTTGCCATAAACTGTTATCTCTGGAGCACTTCAAGTGAAGTCTGTGTCCATTTTTGGTTCTGGATACAGCTGTTATTGGTTTTTGTCAAAGGGCTGCTTTGTTTAATCACCACTGACATAATAGGCTAAAGCTACTCTCGCTCTCCTCCTACTTGCCTCCACTCCTCCAATACCAAATATGGTGCTGGGAATAGTACTTACAAGCCACTAGGGAAGTTGTGCATTCCTGAGAACAGGAAAAGTCCACAACAGTGTTTTCTGGTGTCAGTCGCCAAAGAGAAGAGCCCCAATCTGCCTATAGTACAACTGTGGTCAGATTTCTCTGTTGTGCTACTTTCCAAAGAAAAAATTTTGATTAAAATTAATGAGTTCATAATACCTCTGTTGCTCTACACATCATTGTTGTATCATTAATATAGTGTGTATTCAAAATGAACTGGATTTGGAGTGTTTATTGTTTATCTTGGAAATCACTTCAGGGGTTGTTGGCAATAGCTTCAACAGTTTAATCTGATGATCTGCTAATTGTCATGTAATACAACAAAAATGTCACAGATCTTGGTTTATAATTTATTTTTGTTGGGTTCACACAACACTTTTACCTCAGTCCTTCCTGCTTGTACCTGTGTTTCCTATCTTTATAAATAAGTTGATGACGTTATGTCTTGGTGGTTTATAATCTACCAAATATGCAAGGTTGTTTATTTATATTTTGATCTATTTCACAGAGTACAAGGAGTCGTTCCTGCTATTTGACAGGACTGGAGATGGAAAGATCAGCTATAGCCAGTGTGGAGATGTCATGCGCGCCCTGGGGCAGAACCCTGTCAACGCGGAGGTGGCCAAAGTCCTGGGCAACCCCAAGGCCGAGGGTAAGAGAACAATGCAAAGCCATTTCCATCACAGTCTTGTGCCTCTGTGTTTTAAATAAGCAATGTGGTGCTGATTAATTGTCCTGCTACTCTACAGAGATGAACACCAAAATGTTGGACTTTGAGCAATTTTTGCCTATGTTCCTCGCCATCGCCAAGAACAAAGATCAAGGTTGCATGGAAGATTATGTTGAGGGATTGCGTGTCTTTGACAAGGAAGGCAACGGAACAGTAATGGGGGCTGAGCTCCGCCATGTTCTCACCACACTAGGCAATTTAAATACAAACAAATGCCTTTTTGATGCAAGCTTTTATCTAATTTGCATTCTACGTCACAGGTGAGAAAATGACAGAGGAGGAGGTGGAGCTTCTCTTGGCAGGACATGAAGATGCAAATGGCTGCATCAATTATGAAGGTAGGAAACACTTTGTGGGGGATATAGGTGACATTATAATTGGATCAGTGTCATGTCACATTCCTTTTATATACATACTCTTCTCAATGTGACATTGAGAAGAGTATGTTTGGAATTGTATTGGATCTTTCCTGCTGTTTAAAGGACATATTATCCATTGTTTGTATGGTTTAATATGGCAGAAACCTCAAACCTCAGTTTTGCACAAATGTCCTTTTTAAAACATTACATTTTCAAGCTTTCAGTGTTTTTGAAAATTGACATCTATGATGAACAACTAGTAATATGCTAGTCTTGATTGCCCCTATTAAGTGTTTTGTGTAAACATCAAATTCTGAAAATGTGTGAACTGTTTTTCCTTTGCAGCATTTGTCCGTCACATCTTGTCAGGCTGAGGCCGGTACGGGCATTGGGTATATCATGAGTTAGTACTGCCAGGCTTTCCTGCTTTCTCATTGCTACACACACTACATATGCCACTCATTAACCCATGTTAACATCTGCCACTAAACAAGAACCATATCTGGAGTGGAAAAGGGAAAGCCTGGTGGTCTGTGTCTCCTGTAGAAGTGAGGCTGTCTCCACATGTAGCCTCCCGCTCCTTTGTTTCCTGCAGCCCTCTGTCCTGGCCTCTGGCTGCATGGCCCTCTGCATGTGTCTGGGACCCCCTTCATTTAAAAGGGTTTGGTGGACACAAGACATGAGATGAGACTAATCTGGTGTCCAGTAGTGGGTATTGTGTCAAAGGCAGCCCCTCTGGCCTGTTTGCATGTTGGTATTTTTAAGCTGTATTTTGGCTCTTGGTGCAGAGGTGATCAGACAGTGAACATGTGACAAAAGTCGCCAGCTTTGGGAGAGGTACCAGACTTTCTACTAACCAGAGAAGTGCAGTAAATTACTCTGATGCTGATTTTCTCTCTATACTGATGGGAGCTGAAAATGTAGTTGGCTGCTCTCTGGACTGTAGCCTCCCCTTGGTCTCTCCCTCTTTTCTTTGCTTTGTACATGGAGTTAAGCATACAGCGAGGATGGCTTCTCTAACCAGCTTTACCTGGATCATAGACATGGCCAAATGCTTTGGCTGAACCTGTTAGATGATTTCTACACCTGTTTCAATTAGTAACCTCTCCAACCTCACCGTACTGTCTCTTTATGAGAAGCCTTTAGGTTTTGTTTTAATTTGTGTCTTCTCTCTGCTCTTTCCAGAACTGGTCAGGACGGTCATGAGCGGCTGAAGATGACAAGTCTTACATTTTAGTACTTCTTTGCATTTACCCTTTTTAAGTCACATCATAAACCCTTTATACATTTCCAAATATTCATACTTTCACTTAATTTAAGTGCCTTGACATTCCCTAGGTCACAAACTGACCTCACAAAACATGTCTTTATCCTGTGTGCTTGTTTTGTTTCAGTAACGGGGGCAACACTTTCTACTCGTACAATTTTAATAACATGCTGTAGTTAGAACTACCTTTTGTGTCTTTAGATAATAGGTCTATGTACAGTAGTAGTTACCTGCCGTTTCACAGGCAAACTGGTACAAAAAATTATATTATTGTAGGTTTATACTGTTAAAGCCATACAATCATGATGCATTTCAAAGAAAGCTCCAATTTTAATTCACCCAAATATTTTTCTGCATTTAAATAAATGTGTCTTGAAAACCAACTGTTGAACTGTTTAACTTATTTTTGTCATACTGCAAAACACCACAAGAGTACGCCATTTGCCTGTAGATTCTGCTGGGAGACTGACTGCGCATTGCAATAATATTTGCCAATCGGAGTCAAGACTATTTTTAACTCAAAATCTGTTTAACTGCATGAACAGTTAGGATGTTCTCTTATGCGGTATTGTACGTTACAAGCCTAGGGTCAATTTTTTAATTGAAATGTTTTGAATTTGGTGACCAGGCTGTAAACTGATTAAAAAAAGAGGATTTGGTGACAAAGCCCGGTGATACGAACAGTTGGAGGCTGCGTGATGGCTTCCTGACCTTTTCTTCATTTTTCTATCAACAGCCTCAACTATTTCCCCTCATTAAGGCGGCGCAGCTATTGGAGTACGGGCTTATGTGTGCTAAGGTTCAGGGGGTGTCATAGTCCAGTGCTGAATAGCTTGTCCACTAATTACTTGGTGTGTGTATGTGTGTGGTCGATGGAAGTCAAGGCTATTGATTATTTTAATCCTCCTATTTGTGAGTCTGTGATCCTCGTGGCTCTGCATTCGACAGGGGAATCACTAATGGGCCTCAGCGCAGCCTGTCTCAGACCTCTCTCCGTCCAATTAACTTTCAACTGAAATCTGCCATAGAGAGAGCAGAGGAGGGGGAGAGGGATAGAGAGGGAAAAAGAACAGAGGATAAGAAGGGAGGGCAGGGATCTGAGGGCTGGGCCCGACAAGCGCTATAGCATCCTCCTTGGCCAGAAGCAACACATACACAAATACTGTACATCCAGAGTCAAGATGAACTCAATTACTGTACATGTTGTGACCCAGTACGACTTAGTCAGTTATGTTTTTAGCATAATCAAAGGTGAGGGCACACTTTGGCTCTCGTGTCCTTTAGTTTTCAAAAAACATGAAGTAATTTTATTGCCTGAACCATATTCTTGTTCCTTTTTTGAGGAAGGTGTTTACGGCTATAGACGTTTTTTTTTTACTTAAGTAAAAGTACAGATACCGAAGCAAAAAAACTTAAAACTTTTACTTTTAGTAAAAGTGTTAAATTACACTTAAAAAATGTACTTGAGTAAAAAGTGATATGTGTTTTGCACAAATTTTGAGATCTAAAAGCTTCAATTGTAGTGTAAGATTTGTGCTGAATTTTGTTCAGCAGAAACAATTGAATCATTAATAAAAATACTTCTACTTTTTAGCCCATTTCAAAAATGCAGTGAAGTAGAAAGTATAGAAACCTTCTAGTGTAGTGAAGCAAAAAGTATTCACTTTGGGTGTCTATATTTAAAATACAATTTAAACATTTTGCTTTATATTTTAACTCTGTTACATTCCAACACTGTCTATAGAGTACACAAAACCCTCACCAAACACTGAACATATGTGTGTTTGTCAAATGTTAAATGAAATATATATTATTTGCCCCCTGCAAATTATGAGAATTAGATCAATGCACTGGTTTTAATGTTTATCTCTGACACCATGTTAGACATATTGGAAATCCATGTCTGAGCAGCCAGAGTCTGTGCTCAGCTACTGTTGCTTCGATCCCACATCAGACCACAAGGCTGGGCCATATATCCAATCTCCAGTCACATTCACTGGTCACTTCAAATAAAAGTGAACAGGATTATGTGTGTCCAAGTCTCCCCAGGTTCATACATGCCTTTATTTAGTGTGACTGTTGACAGAAAGCCATGTCCAAACACATACAAGACTGGGTATATGATTTTTAATACCAATATTATCTGTTCAATCTATGTAACATCTAAGATAGTCCATCTTAAGATAAACTGTGTACACATATAATGTTACATGTAAAAAATAAACATGACATATGTCATTGTAAAATCCATTAAATCCATCTATGAGGTATACAACATTTTGAACTAAAAGACAGGCGGGCAGCCACACCCACACACTCATTATTTTGTAATTGAATACAAACACACAATCAAAAATGCACTTTGAAATACTGTACATTTGCAATGAAACAAGTGCCATTCATAAAACAGGAACAAAAAGAAATCCTTTATCCCAGTGACATGTAAATTATGAAGGGTCACAATACTGTCTGCATTTAGTATTATCCAACGTATCTAGCATCTTTGCATAATAATTCGGCATTTATTTAGATATGAAAAAAGCATGGCGAGACAGTAGTGTATGGGTCAAAGATTACAATACACATAGGTATGCCTTGGCTTCACCAGCTTGATTAATGGCACTCTTGACACCATTATTGCATTAAAACACAATTAGAATGATGTTCTCAATATATTCTGATACAATGGCATTTAATGGGAGACACATTGATTCTTTTTAAGATATTTCCGAGCCACAACGTGCAGTCATTTTTTGCACCTTGCACTGTACAGATTCATACATTTTTGATATAGACCGGAGGTGCAAATCAAAGCAGTTTGGCTCAGTATGATTAGTAGTCCTTGTGATGTCTGCTTACGTGTGCATGCATTGGTTTTGTATTTGGAGACCCGCAGACAAACCACAGTGGGACAGTGGTCAGTCAGGGTAGATGAGGAAGCCAGAGAAGGTGCTGTACTTGTTGGTGTTGCCTCCGTGCACTTTGCCCCCGTCCAGTTGGACACACACCTCGTCACCCACGTCCAGATGCAGGATCACGCTGTTGGATGCGTAGTCGTAATTCTGATCGGCGTCCTGAGCGATGGCACTGGCTCTAACCTGGGAGCGCAGAGACCAAGTGAGAGGAGAGGTGCATTCACAATTAGATCAAGCACTTGCAAATGTAAGACACACTTACAACACAAGCATTGATTATAATACAATGCGTGTTGCCTTCTCTAAATCATTTTACATTTGCAGTCCATAGCTTTAACAGGAACAATGTTTGATTCAGTTGATCATTAGTCACTTTATGTATGTGTGTTTGCAATGTGTCAAATCAAACACAACTTAAACTCAAAATTCTATAGCCGCATATTTTTAAATGGAAGAAACATTAATTTCTACTGAGACAAGTTGAACAGCAAGTCTGCCACTTACATCACATAAACCAAAATGCTCTCACTATTAGTCTTGAATATGATTTACTTTTTTAGACAGAGAACACTACATATGCATAGAAGTACAAGGAAAACTATACAGTTCAAAGAGAAACACACTTTCCAGTAGAAACAAATTGCAGTAGTCAAATTGTTAAGAGTTTAATACTTAGCAACTGCGGTCCAAATTGAACATCTGACATAATGAACTTTCTCAGACTTAACTCTGTAAATTACCATATATTTTAATGGCTTGTTGCTATTGTAAGTTTTTAAAAGAACCGCTTATTCCACACCCACCACTGACTTAATACGTTCTTTATGTGTTTAAAATGAGATGCTCATAAGAATGACATCAGCTCCTCTGGGCCCACCTCCGTCGTCCATATGTAGATGGATGAGTGTGTGACCCTTGGCCCCAGAGGTGGACTAAGAACAGGGCCACTCCAGCAGCTATTGATCTGCTATGGACAGGCTCAGTGTGGAGCAGCACAGATGGGAATATGATTAGGATGTGCAGATAAGCTCAGTCATAAGGGACAACAGGTTTATCTACGAGGAGAGCTGCTCAGACCAGAGGAGCAGCATTACTCTCCTCCACCAGCTATTGACCTGTTGCGTATGATCCTTGGCCGAACTCAATATGCATGATATTGAGTGGCCAGGCCTAAGCCAGACACCTCCATTTGCATGCGGTGGGTGAGCTCTGCCTTATTGACCCGGGAGCAGTGGATCTTTACTTGTTTGTTAACACATTTAATTGGGTTTACTCATTGTCGACATTTAAACACACATGCTTGCACTCAGGTACAGCTGTAAAGAAAATTCGTAGAGCAAATATTGTGAAAAGATGGTAATAAATGTAATATATGCACAATCACAGTGCTTAAAATTCTTTTCCCTAGCATCTACGCCTCTTACATCACGTAAAGCAAAATGTTTGCATCATTAGGCTTGAATATGTTTACTTTAGTCCATTGTTTGTTTCTTTTCAGTTATTAGGAAATCTTAGGTTACATTTTTAGACTGAGAATATTACATACATGGGATCAGTACAATTAAATACTAGTATAAAATTAATTCCATTCAGTAACAGAAAACAATGCTGCAATGTTGACTATGAAATGTAATACAATTCGGCATAGGGTAAAACTATACTACAGTTCGGCATAGCCCATGGCAATGGCTGTATTAAACTGTAACTGTAATATTTACACCTTGTCCATTTACAGTATATGGATCATTTGGAACCTTCTTACAAAATAGTCAGAAATGAATTAACTAAATCAGCACCAAATTTCATGCTTATGTCACCACCTTAACACATTAGAGCTAATCCGAGGCCTAACACCTCTACATTTTCTTAACCAATCTTTAAAATACAACTTCTCCCCAGCGTGCCTCTCCACTATCCTCTGGAGTTGCACGTATCAATAATCCTGGAGTAGCTGTTGCTATTATCCGACACATGTCAACCGTCAGTGGCCTTGTGTCTGTCTCACTGTCCATCTGTGCTTGGAGCACTCAATCTTTGTCACCATCCAGACAGGCCCCGTGCTCCGCCATGACAGCCCCCGAATATGATCTGCAACTCAACTACCATCATGTCACCCCATCACAGCGGCCTTTCTCCCCACGAGCCCGCATCCATTTGAAAACTGTCAGTCGACCACAACCAGGCCTGAATTAGTGTAATAAAAAATATCCTCCTCTCCCCACACGTGCACAGATCAATTTTGCCCCCCCTTTCAGTTGTGAACAGTATGTATTCTTAATGTGTCATGAATCCTACATTAGGTCTCCTGCATCTTAGTGGAGACAGCCAATAGTTGATGCAAGCAATAATCAAAACTGTATTTATAATGGTTTCATTTAGTGTAAAAATAATAAAAATAAAATGCTAATGCTTTTTTTTTGTGCTAAAAAAGGAAAGTAAAGAAGAAAAGAAAAGTACATAAAAATACTGTGTCAAACCCATGGACTTAATCTGAAATTTCTGGATCAGTGCATTTTCTAAGATTAAAATTACACAAACTGAATTGAACTGAATGTGCAACAATTTTATTGCAAATCAATCAACACTGTTTCAGTAACTAGTTGACACATCCAACATTATATATACAATGTATATTATATTTTCATGACTCACATATTTGTTGAAAGCCAAATGTTTAGACTGTGTTTGCTGTCTATAAATGCTTAATATTGTGAGACCCCCTTAAGACCTGTCTCTCAAATATCTTCTGTCATCTCTAAAGGTTATATTGTTGTTCTGCTTGACATGTGTCGTGACAGCCAATATCACATTTGCATCTTTGGCTGCTTCTGACAGTGATGCTGTTATTGTGACTGTGTATTGACACTGGGCATATGTCATCCTGCTCATTATTTTGACCAAACAGTGTAACAGCATAGAGCTCCTCTCCGTCTGGGGTATTCAACTCTCACTCCTCATATTTTTAACGGGAGAATATTTATCAGAACAACATTTTTCCTATTGTGAGAAACTGCTTTGCGATGTATAGCAGATAGAATAATTCTCCCATCTATGAATGCAGATGGCAGACAGACAGGGATAAGGGCTCCATGGTTGGATTAGGAGGAGAAGGCGATGGATACGACAGGAGGACGCAGGCTGATCCGAGCGAACTGGCAGCACACTGCACTGATCCTGAGCCTGGCAGAGCTGTGAGGCGTGAGGCAGGGGCCCCAGGGGCTCGCCTGTGGCTGTCTATGTCTCCGCCTAGCCCTTTCATTATAGGCCTCCACTAAACGCTCCTGGGAGCTGAGGAGGAAAGGGGGGTGCAGTGGGGTGGGGAGCTGTGGCAGTGTCATTTACAACACAACCGTGGCACATAAGACAGACAAGGGGAGACTATAAGAAAAAAACAAAAGCAAGGGCCAGAGGGCTAAGCAAAGAAACAGGAGGGGTGTGGAGGGAGAGACTGATCAAGCGGGGCTATTTTGTGAGAGCGCGGCGGGCGGGGGGTTTATAAAGTCCTGTTTTTATCTGTGCTGCTCTGTTCCACTGGTAATAAAAGTGACAGGATTCATTCACTGTGATATACTGACCTCTTAGAGCGGAGACAATAGAAAAGTAGCTGTTAAACTTACCTAGGGGACCCCGGCACACGGCACGAGGAAGGTTAGAGGAGGAGGATTGAGGAGGGCGATGTTGTGGAAATAGAATATTTATTGAATAGGTTTTCCCTTACCTCGGGGAGCCTGGGGATTACACAGCAACAAGAGAGTGTAGCATTGAGCCATACCTTAGATTGCTATTACCTGCCATTCAGGATTACAGCTCGCTCAACAACAGCCGTTCCCATCCAGTCCCCAAGACCAGATGAGTTAATGAGCCCTGGTTTAACAACAAAACATTTCTGCTCCAACAAATTCACAAATTTACATTTGTCGTAGCTCACAAATTCTATTTGGTTTACATTCTATTAGGCTGCTCTGTCAGTGTCATTATTTTTGACAAGACCTATATGCCTTTTTTGTGGTCTTGAAAGACCATTGGTTCACACTTCCTGTTTTGGTTCTAACTTACCATTGCATTTGAATTAGGCAAAGTGAACGCTGTGGCTCGGTTTTCTACAGCTTCCACACATCAAATCATTTCCCTCATGAGCCTCAGTGGTACCTGTACCACAGTTAGTTTTTATTAGATTCTTCTGCCAAATAACCTGAGGCTAAGGTCCAGACAACAACTTCAAATAAGCCTTAAATTTCTAGATGAATGATTTATAAAATTAAATTCAAATGTTATGAATCTTTGGCTACCAGCATTGGACTAATTACACTCCACCTGTAGCCTATATAAGTCGCAGTACAGAGAAAGTGAATACAGGTAAGGGTCATTACAGCAAGTGATGACATTTTAACAGTTCTGTGTGAAATAACGTGACCTTTAGTGAGCTATTAAAGGAATCTATGACAGGTGAAAAACACAGGCGAGATTAAACGGGAACTCAGCCGGTATCTATTAGTCTACATTGCACTCGGTATTAAGGATATTTAATTCTGACATACAGTTGCACATAATGCATTAGACAAGTACGCCATGCAAAGTAATTAACAAGCGGGGGTGGGGGTGGGGGGGGTTGCTTAAAAAGCCAAGCAAGACGTATTACCTGCCTTCTCCAGCATAAAACACACTAGCATTAGCATAGACGGTCTTAATAACATTTGCTACAAAGGTTGCATATTAAGCAGCTACAACCTATGCGTCCAAGTTAAATCAATATTACATAATTATAGAAAAACAATACAAATTCATCATCATGCTCTCACAACATTAGATGAGTATAAATAACATGTAAGCCTGACTGGACTATGCACTGAAGAGGCAAAACAAATATTTCATTATAGTTTGTAATCATATTCTCTTATATTCTTATATTGCCAATTTAGAGGTAGTTACAGTGTGCTGCTTTGTGGCTGACCGCCTGTCAGGCTGCAGTGACTGGTGAAGGTAGGATTCAAGTGTGAGGCAGTGGGTCCATAATAGAGCGTGGGTTAAGTGAATGTTATGTGTCTTGATGCTATATGAATCCCATGCATGTCCAGCTATGATTAGCACATCCTCCAGAAAAGTGGATACCTTAATTCAAGACGTCACATGACTAAAGAAATCTGCCTTGTATTCACTATTTAAGCTGTTTAATGAAAAGAACTTGTTTAAGTAGAATCTTACAATAATATCCTTCTTTTCTGTGTATCTCTACATCTTAGTAAACATCATACCATGCATTCTATAAACTCTATTAGTACTATGTATTGTATGCCAGGTTTATGAAGTTGTTTTTTTTTTATCTGCAAGCAGAAAATTTATAAATAAAATAAAATAAAATAAATGACACATATTCCTTAGGGCCAGTTAATATTCACCACTGTGATAAAGCCAGTTCATTTTGATGGTGAATTCACAAATAACTGTATGCTATAAACAGTTTATAGACTGTTCTGTCTCATTTTGTCTCTCCCATCGCTGATAGCCTGTCAGTGGAGTGGGTGTCCATTGGTCATCGGGCCTGATCTCATTCTGGCCTTCACAGCAGCCTCCCCAAAGCCTCGTCTACCAGCCCACTGTCTCCACACTTCCATGAAGTCATCTATCTTCCTCTGCTCCACCCTTTGAACCCACTTGTCTTGTCTCTCTGTCTCTCCCACTGTCTGTACTGTTTCAGAGCACACGTCTCGCCATGTTCCTGTCATGTTGACACTTTAGTGTTGTCAGAATACATACACACTAAATAGAAAGACAAGTCTTTATAGTCTTACAATTCATTAACACTTAAGATTCTACATGTCTATGTATTAAAAGAGCCGCCCCACTGGCTTTTATCATTGGACTGTCCATCATAGTCACAATGCAAAGTGCGATATTTAGTGAAATGGCAAATTGCATCTACCGAAATCTAAAAGTATTGTCAGAAGTTTCTGGTCACATCCGACTAATTTGAGGTGGTAAAATATATTTATGCATTAAAGATTACAAAATTCAAAATCAAAACCAAATTGTAGCCACAGTTTTGTTTATAAATGGTGAGGTTGGAAGCCATGAGTGTAGTTGAAAAGTTTGACAGTGTTGCTTCAAATGGCCTTGTATGTTGTGCAAGAGTAATCAAAAAGGAAAGGTGGATTCTCCTCAAGGCTTTGACAAAAACCTCCCAGCTCAGACAAAATATCCAATAAAGCTTTATCACCTACGGCAATGGTAAAACAGGCTGTTTAATTCTGGAGTTAGCAATCCAGCTTGTCAGACATAGTGCCCATTTAGCAGGCCCCAGCCACTCACTGGCCTCAGGCTGTGTACCCGTCTGCCTCAAGGCTTCACCAACTCTGCTACATAATCCCACACTCCACTGGCAATTTATTTACACTCATTTTCATCTATAACACTTGGGTTAGGACTCTCTGGTTAAGTGAGAGCTCGATTTAACCAAACTGTTGAAGTGGAGCACATGACAGGTGTCAGACGAACCTGGGTGAGGTTAAATAATTGAGTTGAGTGAAAAGATAATTAATGGAGAATCAATGAACAAGCAGAAAAAGGGTTAGAGGAGGGAAGCCGCTCAGCAGAGGATCTAATCTAAGATGAGTAAATTATTAAACAGTCTTAGATGGCTTGAATGACAATATGGACATTAAGCCCGCAGCCTCTCACCTCTGTGGCCGTATGCACATACAATAAAACAGCACTGAATGATACATGTTTTTTAAACATTTACTCAAGTATAGATGTGCTATGTTATCTCTTACTCAGTTGTAATAAGCTGTTGTCTGTTATCTGTGGCTGGCTCTATTTGATACAGTGATGTCTGGAGGCTGAGAGGTGAGGATTTGCATTTAGCGTCCTTCATGAATGAATGAATGTGAAAAACAACTTGAAGAATGTTTCCTGAATTTGGAGATCTCTGGTGAAAAGTCTGATTTATCCCACCTTTCCGCTCCCACCCCCATCAGCCACAGTGTCTTTAATTAGTGTCTGGGGAATGAGGGAGTGGATGAGTGGACTGTCAATTTTACATTCATTATTTATTTAGCTGAGGTGTAAACTGACTAGTCCGCGTCCTGACAGACATTTCTGCCGTGCTCTTTTGCTCCTCTGTTTAGGCGATAATCAAGCTCTGTGTATGATACTTACTAATTAGACTGTTCCTTTGGTGGCGGCTGCTGCGTTCTGCCACTTGTCATTTAGCTACATTACATGTGGGAATGCAAATATCTCTGGCCGCTGATTTCAAACTATATACCATGGATTCCTCTTAATGAGGAAGAGGATTTCTCTTTCATTCTTTTCCTGTCATTTTGACACCTGCTAAGTGGAATGTGCTCTGAATTAGAAAGGCTCAATTTTGCTGAGGTGAGTGAGTCAAACATGGGTGGCCACCAGTGAAGAGATGCATTATATGTGTGTGTGCATACATACAAACAGCGCATACATTAGACTGACCTGCCCGTTCTTCTTTAGGTCGGCCCACATGCTAGTGCCATCTCCGCCTCTCATAAGGACATGGTAGGTGAAGAAGTAGATGCCAGGTAGAGGACATGTGAACTTCCCAGTGCTGGGCTCATAATAGTTGCCCACATTCGTGACCACGTCATCAAACTTTAGTATTTCACTCCCTTCATGCTGTCTGCGCAGCCCTGCATAGAAGGCAATTTTAGGAGAGTAGAGGGAAGGGGAATAGCCACCGGGGCCTGGGCCTGGTGGACCTTGTGGTCCAGGTTTGCCTGGCTCTCCAGGAGGTCCACGTGCTCCTGGGGGTCCGGGAATCCCTGGGGGCCCGCGAAGACCAGACCTGATCTTCTTTCCAGAGTAATCCTGTGGCGGTGGGGATACAGCGGTCAGCTCTTGGCCTGGCTGAGCTGTGGTGTCACATACCATTTTGCAGGATTCAAGCATTTCATAATGGCTACCGGCATTTCCAACACTTCCCACTTTGGTCGTGTGGACCAGCAGAGGAATGGCAACCAAAAGTACGAGAACCATGGCCACACCCACTGCAGCTCCAATCACACGTTTCCTACGGCTGAGCCGCGAGGCGGCCAGCGTCAGGAAGTCTTCTTCCCCCTTAGGTGGAATAGTGCCGGCCAGGGTGAAGTCTCTGGGAGAACTGGAACAAGACTATACGGGTGTGAAGAATGAGAGAAAATATAAAATAAAAAAGCCCCAGATGAGCTGACGCTGTGGAGAGTCCCCTGGACCACAGAACCCAGTGGAAATCACAGTAAGATGAATGTTCAACACCTGGATCAAAAAGACAAAAAAGAAAACAGATTTAGTTTAGAGCAGGACATTATTTAAGTAGATAATTTAATTCATGGCTCACCTCTCTCTGAAATCTCACTTCAGTTTCACATAAAGCATGGCCTGAGAGAGGAACTTAAAGGGATGCTGGAAAAGGCTGTCAAAGTCATGTCAATTGTATAAATCAAATGAATGTCACAATTTTTGGACCCAATTGATATTTGTGCCTCTTCAATGAAATCGTTTTCTTCTGAGTTTTCCTATATTCATCGTACTGGCCTTTGGGGGCACCATGATGTTTGTAACACCTGTTAATCAGCAATATTAAAAGTCCTCACTTTTGTCCTGCACAGCCTGTAGTTTGAAAGAGCCCAGTGAATAAATGTACATCTGCAAAACAAAACAAAAGACAAACCGTTCAGCGGCGTTTTCTTGTTTTAGGATTGTTCTACAATATTGTATGCACTAAAACTAAAGTGGATATTAAGGAATTGTAAATAAAGTGAATTAATAAGATCATTTATTAAAATAAAGATTTAGCGAAAGTATTTTGTGTTCTATATGAAAGTGCTTAATTTTCACAATTCTTCTTATTGTTTTTCTTATCAAATACACTGTACTTACCATTAGCTTGTCATTATTCCATGATTAAAGGATGAATTTATCGGTGCTCCAGTCCTGTTCAGTCCCTCTAAAATAATTGAATCACTTTAGAGACCCCGACGCCAAGTGCTGAGTTAGAGCCGACTGTGCGTAAGAGAGTGCCAGGAAAGTGTGGAGAGTTTCTTAATCAGCGCATCAGTGCGTAATCCTTTCTTCTCTCTCCATGGGAAAGAAAAATGTAAATATCACAATTTAGATTTATTAAAACAAGCCCGGTGCGACTCCAAAAGACGATACTCCGGTCAGCTCCTCCGCGTGTGAGCTGCTGTCCGCTGCCTCCCTCTCTGCTTGATGTTGGGCTGTGGGCTGCACCAGTCGACACCTGTTAGATTGATCCCTCCCTCTCAGATCGCACGCATGTCGGGTAAGTGCTTTCACTCGCATTTAAAGTTGGTATATGGTAGTAAATGTTATCATAACTGGTACTAAACGGTTCCTAGCTCAAAGCATAGCCTACATATTGAAAGTAGGCTATAGCCTACCGATCTGGTCTCAGGATAGCTACCATGTTTCTAGCCTCATTGTGTACCCCAGTAGGCTATTTGCTCAAAATATGATTCAAACAGTTTTCTTACTACATTGTATAACATCAGTCTATAAACTTGTGTTTATAGCTTGCGCGCCCCTAGCAATTAGACTAGGTAGGCCTATAGTCTACGCTCTTTCTCAACTTCTCACTTCTGATTGGATAGAAGAAGTTTCAGTTTGGTTGGAAAATCTTACATCTGATGAGGAGCTTATTTCTGTTGCGTTAATTAAAGTAGATCCAAATGAGCACTTAGATGTAGGCCTAAAATCATTTGTATTCCAAGGTTAGTCTAAGAGGCATGTGTAGCCTACATGTAAAAGTATTAAAGAAGCATACCGCAAGTGTATATTTATGTATTTGTGGTGTTTTTTGTTTTGTTTTTTTTGGACGGTGTCATTTCCCCACTGGCCTGGCGCTAACAATGCCGCGGCGCACGGAAGCCTCTCCCCGCTCGTTAGCCGTGTTCACCTGTTACAGGCTTCAGTAATGTTTGATAAAAACTTGCAAAAGCAAGACAGATGTTTTCATCTTGGGCTCTGGATGAAAACGCTGCCGTCAGAGGCCGTGGGTAAAACGCCGCCTGTGTGTGATGGTGAGGGATGGAGAGGAGACACTAAACGTTCCCCAGACCATTCCCGTGCGCGCGCTGGCAGAGTGTGTGACTCGCATCCCACTGCTCTAAAGGCTCATTAGTGAGACACCCTGCTCCACACCGCAGCGCCTGTCTCTCCACAGCGCCCGTGTCAAAGTCAAACTGATCAAGGACCACACGCGTAAATAAGGAGCACATCAAGCTCAATTCATTAGGAATAGGGCTATGATATCCAAACTCGAATAGCAATAGGTCTATGGGAGTTCGGTGCTCATTCGTTAAATTTATTACAATTATTTCCTTTGATGTGAATTTACATGAAAACACAATGATGTGTGTTTTAGGAGTATCCTCTTAATTTGTTGTAGACCTGATGAAAACATATGCAGTTAATACGAATGGACCTAAACTTATATGGAACAATTTATTCAATTATTCATTTTAAACTTCTCCTGCTCTCCCATACGGTTGCCCATGTAGTGTGCTGCTGGTGGTGCATTCTTGGTCATATGGTAACTTTGGCAACTTAAATTGTAGATTGTTATTCTCAACTGATCATTATAATATTTATGCCTAATATCTAAAAGTAATATCTCGTCCATGATGTGTAAGATTCCTGCTCATATCATCTGCCCCCCTGAGGTTTGCTGTGAGGTTTGTATTAGCTGTCTGACAGATATAACGGCCCTTATGTGAGTTTAAAGTTTAATGTCCAGGGCAGGGGGACCAAGGGGAATAGGTCTACATTCAGTATTGATGACAGCCACCCTTTTCATCAGACTGTCCCTCCTCGACCTCCCCTCTCCTCAGCAACACTCACCACTGTCCGGAAATGTAGGGATCATTCGGCTCATCCCTCCAGACATTGGTCAGTTTAACAGCAGTTTTCCAAGGACAACTGGGATTAGCGGGGAAATTGGGGCTGAGACGTAGCTTGTGATGTTCCAGGAGGGGTTATCCTGAGCTGGGCAGGTGGCGATGTGAAGGGTGGGGTTTAAATGCTGTGTCAGTGTAAATTTGAGGTTTATAGATGGTGTGCCTGGAAGGTCCTGACTCAGAGCGGTACACACAATCATTGCCAACATTCAGATGCGGATTGGATTTTTAAAGGCTCTTTAAATATTACTGAGGTGATTAATATTGAAATATGAGGATGTCTTGGTGCCACCACTGCCCTTTCTATTCATTTCTTCACTGATACAATTTGTATGGGTAATCTAAGTTTGCCTTATTGACATTCACCCAATAAGAAGTATTACAATAACTAAGCATCTATGGCAACAGTATTTCCACATTAGACACACAGAAACACGATTATAATTATTCCAGTTCAACTGAAAATGTAAGTTGAAATCATTGTTGCACTATAGTAAGGATTAAAATGAGAGCGACGTGTCTTTAGAACTATGATAATGTTACTGACTGACGTAATTAGGTTTTTGAAAAGGCCTGACATAGTTGACTGAATCTTCCCAAAATATGTAAGGAATTTGTAAACAGTTGGATATAATATTTATTTATGATAATTTATTTATTTTATGTTGTGGCAGTCAACATAGGGCCACAGTATTTTCTTTTTCTTTAGGTTCAGTTCACATCTTAAACCATTTGGCATAGTTTCTGGATTAATTAACCACTAATGACTGTCTTTGTTCATTATTCAATACACAGTTGAGTTCAGACCGAGCTCACAGTCTGTATATATGTGCTGCTGCAGTTCTGCTCACTATCATTACCAGTGCAGAAGCTGAGACTATCACAGTGTTAACCCTGTTTGGAGCTCAGAGGGATGAAGACACATGGGCCCCCAGAGGCTCAGAGCTGCTGCAGGGGCCCATGTTCCCAGGGGCCCCACCACTCATCACTATTCCTACTGACACTGTACTGTCCTTATGCAGCAGGAGCATCACCAGCGTAAATCAATGTAAAGGTCATTAGGGGCAATGAGGGGTGATTTGAGGTGAATCTGGGTTAGGACTTAAAAACACATTAAAAATACAATTCATATTTTGTTAAACATATATTTAATTGAGACACAACACAAGAAGGCATTTGCACTGTTTGTGTCAGTCCTTAATCCAAACAGTACTATAATAACCTTTTGGTGTAGAATTTTCATCTAGGATTTTTCTCTGGTTCCCATGTAAATCCAATAATATAAATAATAATAAAACATGTCCACAGCAGGATGGCAAAATCTATAAAATCAAGTGCTGCTGAGCTTTCTGGAGATGCACTGTCCTAAAACACAATAAAATAGAAATGAATTCTGACAATACTGTACATATTATGACTAACAGCTCCATAGTCACGTTGTCATGTCCCAACCCATGTCCAGTGTTGTGCAGGCTGCCTGGGTTCATGTGGAAAATAGGTGTGCATTGGTAATCTCGGTGTGTTCAGGTGGATATGTCTACATCCCGGTGTTGCGCTGTTTCATTAGGCTCTGATTATCGGACCTGATGCAGAGTGACAGAGCACAGATTGAGTTGCACAGCCACTCTAATTCTCTCTATTAATAACAACCCTCCACACTGCCGTCCCAAACCACATTTATTAATCACAATTTGTCATGTGTCCGACGCTCCGCCCTCTTCTTCTCCTATTTTCTCAACAGCCCCCCCTTCTCCCAGCAGGGCCAGTTATCGCGCTCCTCTCGCCCCTGCACCCCCACAGCTCTGCCTCCCGCACAGACATGGTCCAGCATACACAAGGATGGACCCTCTCTCTCTTTAACTGCACTCTGTGGGCTCAATGAAATTAATCAGGAGCTCTCCAGCCCTAATTGGCTAACTAACAGTTAACTTCTTGGAACAATGTGGGCTGTTTTGTAGCTGCTTGCAATAAATATTATAATAAATGGCAATAAAAACAAATCCTTATTTTCAATTAATGTGTGGCTTTAATGGTGTTTACTCAGCTGCACAGGATCTGTATGTATATTAGTATATCATAGGGCTCTTA